CTGCTGTTAAGAAACAAGCTCTGAAAGGAAGAAAGTGTTTTGCCAAATATTTCGACGAAATTCTTAGATAAATTTACCGCTAAATGATCTATCTTTCTACTTGATTATATTCATAAAAACCCTCCGACAAAGTTTGCCTGTTCCTCGGACACTCTGCGTGATATTATCAGACACTGTATAGTGAAGAGGCCGTGCGATCAACAAGACCCGTGTAATATTCCCTCCGAATATTGAAACCGGCAATCACTTTTTGCGTTTTCGTGTTCGCAATTGGTAAACAATGTACGAACATCGTACGTACATCTTGGTTCACGAATCGTGAAAGCTGGCACCCGTGTGTTTCGCGGGCATCGGTTTTATTAAAACCGCTGCTTAATAAAATAGCACGGCGATCGATGTGCACGGAGCGAAAGCGCCGGGAAGAGCCGGTCGCGTGTCTATGGATATTCCGCTTCCGAGAACATCGGCGCTCGTTCTCTGCCACGAGATTATTCAATCATCACGAACGGGGCATCGGACAAACGGGGCCGTGTGTATATCGCGCGCGCTACACCGTGTGGATCACGCCTTATTAAGATTACAAGGGCTGGTTGTTTGTGACTCGGTTAAAATCTAGGTCAACCGTAATAAGACGTAACCGATTTTTATTGGCACCTGCCATCCAGACTCACGACGATCCGCTTAATCGTTTTATCGCATCGCGCGCCTGCTATTTCTGCAGCTTGCGCACGATCGCGCCGCGTTCACGGAAGTTCCGGCTGTTTTAGCGGGCTGGACGAGCTGCTCCCGTTTTCGAGGAAAAAGCGTATTGCCAGTTTAATCATCGGAGTTATTAACGGGAGGGAGAGGGGGAGGGACGGGCTTGCTGCTTGTGATTTAGTTCTCGATTCGTTCGAAGACAAATATCGCGCGTGCACCTGTTTGAAAATTGAAGAATCCCAATATTCGGAAGCTTAGGAAAGGATTGTTTAACGAACGGTGCAACGTATATTTGAAAACATAGTGGTCAAATATTGTTTTTGCAATGTTTGTAATTTCTCTAGAAATATGCGATATGATTGAAATTCGTTCTTGATCTTCAGAAGACCTTTAGAGAAATATTATTAGTCTACGAGTAAACTACGTAGTTCAATTAGGTTAACTGGATGGGTGACGTCGACGATGACGTCTGTTTGTAATTTAGTACATTGTCAATACTTTATTGCTTCGTAATGCCGTATAAAAATTATAATTAACCATCGGTAAAAAAAATTGATTACTTCGTTACACTTAAACGTGGAAGACGCTACTTGCTCGGGGCTTGCTTGCTCGACTGCAGAACAGGTGTCGCTTAAACGTAAAAAGTATATTGCTTACGATCACTGATATAAGATTGATTGCTTTGTTGCATTTAAATACGGAAGATTCTACTTGCTCAAGGTTTACTTGCTTAAATGCGGAACAGGTGTCGCTTAAATATATGTAATTATATGGTCTCGGTCGTGGCAGTTGCAGCGTTTCTTTAAAAATGTCGATGATAAAAAAGAAAAAAAAGAGAAAAGTATGAATTAAAACTTTGTCAGCTTTCGATGCATAATAAATTGCCAGCCATCGAATATTATGCTTTTTACGTCGCCAATGGGTATTCTTTCTTTTTCACGTAAAAATTGAAATTGTCCCTTTTTAATTGAAATTCGATACGCTTTTAAATACGCCGTTCGCGCACGTATGCAAAATCCGTACGAGGTCAATTTTCATTGAGACTCATCGAGAGAGATATCTCGGGACGAAGCGAGTGAGCTCTGGGTTAGATGTCTGACGCAAGATACAGTCGTACTACTGTGAATTCATAGTCCTTCACTGCTTCATAATCCTTTGCTACCCTCTGAGAATTCTTCGCTCAACTGTTTCGAACGTGTTAGATATTTCACTCAAGAGAAAAGAGAGTATTCTTCAAGTTCATTCGTTTAGACAATTTTACTCGTTTTTTTCTTTTATTTTTGCGCTATGTATTTTTCCTAAAGGGAAAGTATCGTGTGACAACCGAGAACTTCAGAAGTTCTACCCTGTTCGTTCAAATTACAACAAAATTAACCCAACCAATGAAAATTCAGTTAATCGAGCGTCGAAAACTAAAAATTTCGTTCCAAACGAACAAAGTTCGAAACGAAGTTCATAATGGCGATCAATATTCGAGAAGAAGACATTGACGAGCTGTAATTGTAGCGAAGCCTAGATCCATCGTCGGTGTGCAGCGTTTCGTTCACGACGAAATCGGAACAATCACTGCGATCGGTGTGCACGAACGGACAACTAGGCTGCGTTACAATACCGCATTGAACACGCGAGTTTTATCGCGGTTTATCAGTCCGGCGCGACCGAGTCAGGCCGGTTTTTGTATCGGCAACGATCTTTATCGGCGCGGGCCGAGTGAGTCGTCAGTGTAATTTTAAATTCGCGATGCGTCGAAGCGTCATTAAAGTGGTTTAAGCGGTATCGCCGGTGTTACCGTGGTTTTTTCGACTTAAACGCACTGCCTCGAGGCGTGTTTAACTCCGATTACAGAAACTCGAACCGATTGCAGCTTTTCGGAACCCGACCCGGAATATAATGTCCTCCCCCTCCGTGTGCCACCTTTCTCTCCTCTCCATCTTCCTCATCATTTTCTTTCCCACGTGAGTGACTCGGATTTTAATATCCGGCTCCGTTTTAATGCCGCGCGATTAACGTTGATTTCTTCCCCGGACGTATCTATATATCTCCGGGGGACAAGAACCGAATTTATTATTATACACATCGATTTTCTATGCAATAACGTGATTCGGAAACCACGTCTCTTAAATCATCACTATTTTGTCTCTTTTGACAATGAATCTGAGTAATTATTATTCCCAAATATTATCAAATCATTGTGTCACGTCCTAGGACACTTCTTTGAATCATTATTTCAACGTGTATTAATCCTTGTTCGTGCAAATGGAACAATTAATGAACCGCATTGTGCGAAGAAATGCACAGAATATACACACTATATACCAAATGTACAATATTTATTGCAATGTTTAACAACTGAAGTCAAAGTTCTCCTCGTTTCCGTAAAATAGGCGCAGTCCATTTATTATTGAATGTATTCCTTTTGCAACGAACAGATCTGTTCGTTCATATTGGTTTGCGAACGGTCGGTTCGAACACGTTTGTCAGGTGTGTAGACTCGACTTTATATAGGCGGCATGACGGACCCCGTTCAATCGATCTGGATAGCACGTGCTCGACCATAAGCGGGCGCAAATGAGCAGGCATAAAGATAAATGTCACGCGGGAACCAAATCGTCGCGCTCCCTCTTCCTCTCTCGCTGTTCTCGTTCCTTTCTCCCTGTTCCGGAGCAACGAATTCGCGTTCTTTTCGCTCGTTGTTCGTTGCTCTTCGTACCGATACACGTAAATAACAAGAGGACAGCTGGAGACGTACACGAGCGCCTGCACAACAGCGTACTTACTCGAGCACGCTGATACACACGTGAGTTTTGAAAGTACTTGTCGCAATCTTCGTGCGTAGAGTGCCTGTAGGATTTATTTATTCGAGTTGTATCTAAAAAGCAGGGGGGAGAATTCGCCGATGGGGATACATAGATACATGAGCAAGTAGATTAGAGTTACTTGAATCAGCTCGACGAGAGAAATTTAGAGAGTGCGGAAATTATGATTCGGATAATTCAAAAAATTATGAAAACCTCGTGACGTATAATGATTCATGCATGATATTGACCTATTCTTTTTGTTCGTGTCCAAGGGGTGAAATCCTCTTCGAGAATAAAAAAATTCAATCTCCAGTGGTGGGGGTAAAAATTTTTTAAAAAAGTACGAAAAAAAGTCGTGTTTCACTTTGCAGAATCTGAAAAAGTTTCGTAAAGCCACGCACTTGAGATTTGACCGCAGCGTTTTGAAACACCCCGTATATGCCTGTAGCAGGACGGGCCTGCGTTAAACCGGATCGAGTAAGGCGCGCGAATTATTTATTATCATACACTTGGCCCAGTTTAAGGCGCACTCGCTGCTTATATATCGGGGTTGCGTCGCCAATTTCTGCGTTGTCCCGAGTCGTGTGTGTATGTGTGTGCGTGTGCGAGTTTCGTACCACAGGCTGCATCGGCGATCGCGAGTCGTTAAGAGATATTTCTCTGACGATGATCGAATGGGATTTCCGGCACGACGCCACGAAGGAACCGCGTTCGGCATTAATCTCGTGTAAGTAATCGCCACAACACCTCGTGCTTTCGTTCACTCCATTATTGTTAAGCGTACGTCACAACAGGCATAAATTTACATCTTCTTTACGACTAATTATTTTTAAATGACTATTCATTATTGCATTACGGCGATGAACGCGATGTAATCATTAATTCAGTGATTAATGGACGAACTAGTTTTTGTACGCCGTGAATCTTTATACATCGATACATTTTGTAGCTAAACTATGTATTTTTTATATAATGTGTATAACGAGGATCTAGAAATGAAGATTTGTTCGCTTATTGTTTATGGACTGCAAAGGGACTTTATATTTCGAATATTTTACATATTTTTACTTGTCTGGTTAATTCTGCGCAATTTATTTGCGACAAAAGGAGAAGCTGTGATATTCTTAATCTAATTTATGGCATAATCTTTATCTAACGTGGCAGCATGAGATTTATCAAAATATGAAGCACCATTTTTATCATGTAAAATGGAGTCAAGCCGTACTTTGAAGAACTTAATAACCTTGAAGCTTTGCTTTTACGTCACAGAATTTTCCATGTTACTTCTATACTCATTTATTATCGATATCTTAACAATATTATCGACAAAGTTATCGATATCTTATCGCTAATCTTAATCGTAACATGCTCCGTTCTAGTATTTTTCGAAACGTGAATCATCGAGTGATCAGTTTCTCTCCGAGAGAAGTAAAGCAGAAGATATACCTTAGATTTTTTTTTTTAATATAACTACGATCGTGTTCGAGAAAACGTTGGAGAAGCATGCCTAAAATTCGCGCGAAGAGAAGTGCCATTTGGCAGCATTTTGTCACAGAGTATCAAGAGAATGGATCGAAAACGATCGTCAAGTGCAACAGGTGCAATCTCATAGTGCCCTGTTGCAAGAACACGACGAACCTGTGGTCGCACGTCCGCACGCATCATAGAAATGTCCTCGAGAAGAACTCGCCTGATGTATCTAACAAAAAAGCGAACGAAGCTCGCGCAATTGCGTCCAACTCGTCAGAATTCGAACGCGAGCCGATCACTTTTTCTTCGTCGAAAGCTCACGAGATAACTCGATCGTTGGTAAAAATGATAGCGGAGGATGTGCTGCCGTTTTCGATAGTGAACGGCAACGGATTCGCAAGTTTCGTGGGGAAATTGAACGGAAAGTACAAGATACCGAAGAGGAACACTTTGATCGCGAAATTTCTGCCAGAATTGTACGAGGGCGAACGCAGGCAGCTGAATGAAAGTTTGTCGAGAGCTGCGTGCGTTCACGTCGCGATTAGTTTACGGCCGAGCATCGTTCACGCAGGCCTGATTCTCGCGACGAGCGTCCATTTCTCTGTGGATGGAGTCCAACACCATAAATTATTGAGGATCTCCTTTCGACCAACAGACTACACCGTCCCTATATCGAGCGAGCTCGGCGAAATCGCTGAGACCTGGCGATTCTATTCAAAGGTGAACGTCGTCACTGTTGACAATACGTTTAACGACAGAGTGCACGGCTTGCACAATACTTGTTTCGCTCATACGTTGAATCATATAGCACAGAGCGCCGTGAGAGAAACGAAAATTGTGCTAGACCTGGTGGAGAAGTGTCGAGACGTCGTCCGCGACTCGAAGATTCAGAACGCCGTTGCAAAGTCACAAGGATCGGCTGCAAGCTCTTCGAAACGTTTAAGCTTGCTAAAGGACACGGACGATCGTTGGGTTTCCACGTACTCGATGCTGAATCGCATGCACGAGTTAAAGCCGATTCTGTCGAAAGTTCTCGCCGATATGCCGCCATCTCTGTCGGAGAACGAGTGGAACGTCATCTCGGAGGTGATCAGGGTTTTGATGCCGTTGCACGCCGCCACGAAGGAATTGCTCTGCGATTGTTACGTGACAATTTCGAAAATAATACCTGTCGTTCACGGCATCGAAGCTGTTTTGAGGAACACGCATGACTTGTCGATCGCTGCGACGTTGTTCCGCGACAATCTGCTGTCACGTTTCGACGAACGATTCGATAACGTCGAGGAGATCGTTCACTATGCTGTCGCCACGTTTTTGGATCCCAGATACAAGGACGTTGCGTTTCGTTCGGAGAACTGTGTCCAAAAAGTGAAGGATCTATTGATGAAGAAGTTGAACGTTTTCGACGATACGAACACAGGCACGTGTGATGCACGTGCGATTAGGAGTACGAAAACGAAGGATGAAAATATGGAGACGAGTGTTTTGTGGGCGGTGTTTGACAAAAGGGTTCAGGAGTTGGCCGTTGAATTTGACGACAATTTTGTCGTTAACTGTCTGTCGAGGCAAGAATTGGACAGGTAAATGTCTGTCGCGGGGTCAGTCTGGCTCGTTTCGCTCTTGAATTTATATTTTCGCTAATTATTCCCTCAAACGTTTAATTGGAGGACCGGAGACTTCAATAAGTATGTCGGATCTTTTAAAAGTCAGAGAAGATGAGTTGTAAGTGGTTGTAAATGTTAAAATATACATATAAAAGTAGCGATTTTTCCCCTTTAGTGATATGACTGAGATAAGGTCGTGTGCTACGTATTTGTAATCTGTTTCATTTTTTGTTCTAGATACGTAAATTTGAAAGTAATCGGTAGGAAAGACAATCCGATTACATGGTGGAATACAACGGGCCGCACGATGTTCCCGAACCTTTCAAAAATCGCGGCGGATTACTTGTGCATACCTGTGTACTCAGTATTAAACAACCCTCTGTTCTCGAAACTTCATAAAATCTTGTTCGATCGTAGAGTCCGATTGTCGGACGAGCAGACCAACATGCTTGCTGTGATAAGTTTGAACTGAAACGCACGAATAGGATAAAAATTCGTATTTTGTCTTCTTTTCTTTTACGAGTTGCTGCTTGCAATCAACTGAATCGTATTATCGAGACGATAATCATCGAATAACGATAAGCTCGTACTCTTCGATATCTCAGCTACAATTCGCAATATCAGTCACGAATTTGAAAGACTTTCTTTCGAAGCGTCAACGATAACGTACGATTTCATTTTAAAATACAGACAAAGTGCATTGGCATTTAAATCGATATCGGTGAGAGTCGAAGGATTTATTTTAATGAAATTTTTATTTTTCAATTACTCAACAGGACGATACTTCGAAGTCCAAGCGAAACCTTAACTTCTCCGTCTGCGAGGTCGTCTGGAAAGTTTGACATTTTCTGTATTCCTTTTAAATCCAACGAAATTAAAAAAAAAAAAAAATTAAAAAAAAAATCTTTAACGACAACGAGGTTGAATGCGTGCTACGATGTTCAAAATTACATGTCGAGATATATATGTATATATACGTTTAAACGTAAATGCGTAATTTGTGTGTGTTTCACGTGTACGAAAATAAGCCGGCCGTCTGTTAAAACAGAGAGAAAATAACGAAACCCGAGCGGAGGGTGCTTTAATCAAAAACTTTGTAAGTACATCGATACACTATAAGAAGAAGCACTGCGTCGCTTCTTTCACGATAATTAACGTAGTCGTCTACAAAAGTAATTTATGCCTATTTACAAAATTCGTGAATGAATTGCCGCGCCGTGTCTCTGTAACGCGATCGTATGTAACTTCGGTATGAAAGATACGAAAGATAATAGTTATTGCTTTACGGAAATTACGTTACATTCTTGTCAAGATCGAAGTTGTAGTTTGTAGTTTGTTCATTCAATATAGCCCCGGTCCCGTTCAAGTTTCCATATAAGGATGTTTAAAAAAAAAAAAAAAAA